TTGGGAAACAGCTAATTAGAGAGGAAATATTATCAAGGAGGTAGAACAGTACTCGCTTTGTCTTTTTCTTTTCTGTCACAGTAGTATCTGAGAACACCAAGAAACATGTAGCTTGACATGAAAAAAAAAATTAAAAGCCCACCTTTTAGTAAAGTTAATGTATTGTTTGCCGTTTTTAAACACAACACCTGACACAACAGCAAACCTCTGCTATACTGTTTGCATGGTATCTGAAAAGTACCAGCCTCTGTAGATATATGTTGTTTAATTAATCCACAATCTGCCCCATTTCATTACTGGACATATCCACTGTGTGGTCGTTGCTGTGTGGTTCATTCACTCCGCATCTCAGGGGGTCGCAAGTGCTTTGGTTGCTGTAAAAGGTGCTTTTTGCCCTGGCCTCTTGCCCAAGCACTCGCTGCTCTGCTCGGCAGGTGACAAATGGCAGCCTAACGAGCCTTGGTAACTGAGCTTTGCTGGGGGGCCAGTCACTGCTTCAGTGACCTGTGTTACCCAGTATCTCGTTTGGCAGAGAATTAAGAATGGAGCAGACACATCATCAGCAGATTTTCCTGAGTGCAGGCTCGTTTTGGTACAAGCTGTCAAAGTCCAAGGACCCTCCAGTCTAGCTTTTTAAACCTCATCTGTCAGTGGACTGTAATTGGTTTATAAATCAGCTTAAAGACAGTAATGGAGCTAACCTTTTTACACAAAAAGCATGTCTGCAACTGTGGTAAACCTTTTTAAACAAAAAGCATGTCTGCAACTATGATAAAGTTTTACCAAATAATAGTCCTGAATAATATATGAGTAAAACATCCTAGTGGGTGACTGGTGGTGGGAGTTGGTGCAGGCTGGTGTTGCAAAACACTCGGCCGTTGCAGTAACTCACATAACTGATGCTGGAGCCACTTGCGTGGAAGTTGTTTTGTTGTGGTTTTTAGCTGGGTTTTAACTGCTTTTTCTCGCTGCAAGAATGCTAATACGGTGCCTGACTTCTGCTGTGTCAGCTTGCGGTGGGTGACAGGGCTCTCCACCAGATCCCCGTTAATCCAGAAAACTGAAGTACCTGAACAGCAAGTAGCCTCCGTGAATTAAGGATTCTTTGTGCCAAATGTTGTTCATTCAGGATTGTTCCATCAGTGTGGGGTTTTTGTGTCTGTAAATGCTGTCCTGTTGGGCAGGTTGTTCCCTGGCTGCCTGCACAGGGGCTTCTTTATTATAATTTTCGTAGCTTTAGCACGTGCCCACAAACGTCTGAACAGAATATAGACATCCCTGTGCTTTAACACAGGGATTCACGTGTCCTCACTGCAAGCCCTTCTGGCGCATCTGGATTATTGAATTGCCCATCGTGAGAGTTCCAAAAAATTCTGTTCATGGCTTTCCTAGTTAAGTTATCTGTGATATTTAATTTCTCTTCCCTTCTCTGCTTTTCACAGTTATTGGAAGTTCAGTATGTATGTAGGAAAAGTAGTGTAGCAGAATCTGAGGCCTTTTACTCTCCAGGTGTACTTACTCGTTAAATAACAGTTACATGCAGACATGCCAGCCAGTCCCGGAGACAGCTGGGTTTGCACAGGCCATTAAAGTATAAAGATTCTGATTTCCAGACTAAACCTCATACAATTTGAGGTTTAAAATAAATTTGAAAAGTTGTATATTTCTGTTTGCTATATGTTAAATGTAGACAACATAGGAATATACTTTATGTGTAAAGTGGACTAAGAGATCTGTCTTGAATTAGGCTGGCTTCTTTCAATAGATTGTGTTCTGGACTTCTAAGTAATTGTGTTATTACAGTAAAGTAGTTCTTAATCTTAATGAAATTAATGTTTTTAAGATTTTAAGTGTACTAGGAAATATTTGAAAATTTGCATTTAGATCCTCTTTCTTTATCAAACTACTTTTTTTAAAAAAAAAAGGGGGAAAAACCTGTTTGTACCTTAGTGTTAACATTTATTCCTATCAGCTCATATCAAACAAGACAAGGATGTCACCATTTTTTTAAGTGAAGACCGGTAAGGTCACTCCACGTAGTTCACTGTCTCTAGTCAGCTTAAAAATATCCTGTCATTTCTCTTAGTAATAGTCTGTGTATGTGTGACTGTATTACGTAACACTTACAGGTTGAGTGCTTTGGAGGGAGTGGCCTCATAGTGTGAAATGCCACCACACTGTAGTCATTGTAGAATAGAATAGAAAATGCAGTCTATCTATAAACATTTTTTTCTTAAATTAGGACTATTTGAACACCTATTTACCTGTAAAACAAGATTTGTACTATTTAGCAGGATGCCTCCAGAAGTAGCTTCATTTCCCTCCAGGCAGAGCTGCCCCAGTGCAGCTCCAGCAGCATGCACGAGGGAGCGGGAGCTGAAGTACTTCTCATCTCAAGCAAAACTGATGGCACCAGTTAGATGATGGAAGAGTAGCCCAGAGTCATTTTGCTGGGCTCTGTCTGAAGCGCTGCCCTTGCTCCAAGAGAGAGCCCAAAGCTGCAGATTTTCCATGCAGCCTCATTATTTGTTTCACAGTAGAGCTTTTTGTTGTCCTCGATCTCTAATGAAATAGATATGATAAATAAAAACCAAAAGAGAAGGAGGATGTAGAGCTCTGGGTGGAAGGAGGAGAGGGGAAATAGTCATGCTTTTTCTCAGTGAGATAATAAGGGAAAAGTAGAGATGAGGGAAGAAAGGGCTCTAATGGGTTTGCTCAGCGCCTGGAAATACTCGGTTTTACAGCCACAGCAATCTTTTCGGTTAGGGCAGCAGTCTCATTCATTTGCTCTGTTAAATTTTTCCAGACAAATGGATATGTGTTTTTATTTCTAATCAGTTTAATCTTTGTATCTCTTGTTAGTTGTATCTCTGATTTAGTTTGATGAAGGTCACTGAAGCGGAGTCTGTGCGTTTGAATTGAGAGAAATAGTACCAGCACAGCTGTAGAGGGAAGCTGTACTGCAAAGGACAGGCACCTCATCCTCAGTTCTCTCAGGCACCTCATCTTAAATTGATGCAGAGCATCCGGGATGTGGTTATGTTTTGTCTTACAGCAGTGGAGTTCTGACCTTCATTTGTATCGAGAGAGGATGACACTTCAAATAGTTGACCAAGGTCAGACGTTACATGTGGTTTTGCAGTCATGCACATGAAAATAGAAGACTTGTAGTAATACTCAACTAGGAAATCACAGGAGAGATCTCAAAAGAAGATCTAGTGTCCCCAGAAAGAATATTAAAGACTTTCAGAGCATTTAGAGTTGACTGCAAAGTGCCAAAGCTGAACTAGGAGTCACCCACAGAAATTCTGTGTTCCCACAACTATAGAATAAATAGGAAAACAACTGTGATTCAAGAATACTTTCAGTGTGATATCTGTTATATCGATGAGCTAGATTGTAATGATTTCAATTTATCAGGTAATATATTGGGGCCTATTGTGAGATAGCTGTAAAATTATAGACGAATCTAGAGAAGTACGAATTGCAATACAATTATTGTTCAAAAAGATTAAAAGATAAATTCCTGTAAAACATAATTGTGTTGAACACAGTTGTCAAAGAACAACTGACTATAGTTTTATATATAGTTGTTTTTGAAGGAAAACATCTAAATCCCTTTGTAAAGGAGATAAAACACAAATAGCACATTTTAAACAGGAGGAAGATTGCACACATTTTGTGGGTGAGCAGCACTCGCTTGGGTACTGTTGGCTTTTGTGAGGAAACAGCAACTGAGAATTTGTCTGACTTGTTGTGCTACACACCTCTGTCTTGTGTCTCGCTTGGGCAAGGTGCTGCTTCAGCTGCGTGTACGCAACGGGCTGAAAAGTTCGATCTCTGAGTAATCTGATGGGGAGAAGGAGGCTGCCTGTTGACTAATTTAGACGCCGAGCTGATTCCTGGTCGGTGCTAATGGGAGCGTAAGGGTGCATCAGTTTCTGCATGGACGGTGTGCAAGGCAGAGCAGCCACATGCTCCTCTGTGTGTTTCTGACCTTTTTATCAGAGCCGTAAAAGACAACTGAATTTTACTTAAGCATTCCCATAGGATGATTTTGTTTCTGTCTATGAAGCCTCAGTACTTGCAGCAAAAAGTGCTAATGTAATTATGATATGACATTCACGTTCACAAGACCCTAGAGCTGCACGTTTAACTGGATTAAAGCAAATGGAACTTGATGGGGTTTTGGCCTTAAAAAATGCTTATTTTTTATTTGATTAATCATGCCAAAATTGAACAAGGAAAATATTCTTCTAATGTACCTTAGCCCTAGTTGTCTTGACTCTGCAACCACTCTGTTGATGATGACTCAAAGCCATGGTGAACTAATTAAGACAGTACTGTGTTACTAACAAAAGAGCTGCTTTCTTCCTCACTCCTCCCCCCAGCAGTTTGTCAAACAAAATTGTATCCTATACCAAAATAATAGAAATCTAATGTATCCTGGCACTCTGTCTCTAGTCAACCAACAGTATTTTGTAATGCTGTTTTAGTACGTGTATTAGAGGACTTGTGCTTTACACAGCCCATTAACACAAGGGAATCATTAATTTCTGGAGAGTGGCTTTGCCAGAAAGATGTGGGCTTTAAATCTTCTGCATACGTAGAAAGTTACTCCATCTGAAATGTTCTAAGTCAGTATGATTATTATTGAAAATAATAGGATAGTGATATTTTATGTTCTGCATTGTAAATAACTGCATTTTACAGTTGACGGTCTTTTAGAAAACTCACCGATACATTTGCATCTGCATAGACGTGCTTAGGTGCAGTGTCTTAGCGTTTTTTCATATGAATCTTGTTTATAAGGTGTTTGTAGGGTTTTTTTGTGCTTCACATTCATGTTAAGATAATTTTGTCTTGTTTAAAGTATTTTTGTGGTAATGTAGTTGCTCTTTTCACCTTTGTTTTTTATATGTGTTAAATCTGCTTTTTGAAAGTCATCTTTAAAAACTTTTAGCAATAGTTAACTCAGCTGCTTGTTTCTGCTCTCTAAGGGGTCGCCTGGCCTGATATGCACCGTCTGGCTGACAGAGTCCATCTGGAGGAGTTGACGAAAATTGGCATTCTGAAAGGCAGTGTGGATGACATGGTGAAGGTTCATCTGGGTGCAATATTTATGCCACACGGACTTGGACATCTACTTGGAATCGATGTGCATGATGTTGGAGGCTACCCAGAGGTTAGTGTTAGTCCATTCTCGACTGCTTTGCAGTTTAACCCCTCTCAATTCCATCAGCCTTTCTCTTGGTTTATGCATGATTAGCCGATTGCATCTTCGCAGCAGTGGAGCAGATGTGCATTTGAGTGGGTTTTTTTTCTGGATGTGATGCTTTATGCAGTTTACTTTAAGGGAATCTATTAATTTGTTAAAAGAGAAATCGCTTGTGGGGAGACTGCTGCCACCTTTGGGGCATTCTTAATCTGCTCAATTTCTACATGCGTTGTGTTGTTCCTCCATGAGTCACTGCTGTAACACATCACTCCAGCATCCCCTATGTTGTGGCAAATAGCATCTCAGTCTGCCCAAGACCTGTAGTGGGAAGACTTACTTGCTCCATTCCAGATGTGAGGCAGCTGTGGGAGCCCACTGCTGCACTTGGGCTAGTAAACCCCATTGGCTGTGTCACAGGGAAACAAGCTGCCTCATATTCCTGTCTTGAACTTTGATCTCTAGTGTCAGCATGGGCACCAGTGTAGATTGTTCTGAAATAAGAGTAGAAAGCAAAAAAAAATCATCAAGTCTTCCAGTCTTTGCAAATGTGAAAACAACACCTTGTGTTCAGAAAGGCTTCAGAAGGATTTTCTGTGTGTTATATTATGTGAGGCTCTTTGAGAATTTTCAGTAATACAGTATGAAAATAGATCATTTGCCATCTCTCTTCTGTAAGATGTTCTTTTATAAGAAGCTAAGAATTTTTTTAGGTGAGGTTTATGCATATTTTGAAGCTTGTTCATGTTGGATGAACAGGCTACATAACATCTCGGTGCACTTTTGCAGGCAGGGAAGAAACAGTATATAACATTTGAGGGTACTCCTTCTGTTTATAGTATCATTGCTGAGACACAATACTGTGATGACAAGGTACTGGCATGAGTTAGTGAACCTATATATGATTAAAATGAAAGAAAAATCAAAAGCAACTCGATTCATATTTTAAGGTTTCTTCACTAGCTAACACAGAAAGGATGGATGTTTGCCCCTCTATCTCTCCCAAGTGAATTCTCTTCCTGTACAAACAGAGGCATTCAGCAAAGTTCAAGGGATGGGATTCCTTGGAGAGTTCACAGATTTAAAAATCCAGGACTGTAATGTTGCATGCCTTTGCTTAGATTGTTTTTCCTTGTGTTGTGATCAGCCGTTCTGAATTTCGTGGACTTACGTAAACTGGAGCCACATGTTCAAAACTTGGTAAAGAGTTAACTAAGTTTTAGGAACAAGTGAGAAAAATTGTGAGAGTGAGAAGGACCATGTTTGGTTTTTGCTTAGAAACTGTATGCTTATCCTTTGAAGGCTGAAGCAAGTACCTTAATTTCAGGGGTGACTTCTAAAACTGATTTGAGGAGAGTATAGAGGAAGAGACCTTCCACCTCTTATCAGGTTTCAGTAGTGTGGCATATGAGCTACAGAATCAGTTTTTGAAACTAATTTTTATTTGCATATGACCAAATTTGTAGCTATTAATTTTCTGGTATATTATATAATTGAAGGGTCATTTTTCTGAAGGCAGACTGATCTATCCACAGTTTTGAAAGAGCAACCTGTTAAAGATAAAAATGGACATAGGGACTGGATTGTCTAAGGAATTAGGCTCGCCATTTTCATATTACCAGAGCTCCATGCAGATAGAGAATTTTATACCTACAAATACTGAAAACGTTTGTGTAGATGTGCCAACTGCATTCTTATATTAAGAAAGTTTGCATGGCTAATTTATTTCCTGAATGTGAGGGAAGCATATAGCTCACAAACAGATAGCTACATAAATTTGTATGTAGATGGATGTGTGGCATCAACTTAGTTTGTAAAACAACAAATTTGGGGTTCTGTAGAAGAGCAGCCCCATTACCCTCTCTCTGCAGCATTAATTCCACCTTGGTTAGACCCATCGCTTCTCTCTTACCAAAAGCATTAGGCTCTTTACGTTGGGTTGTTTGACTGAGGTGAGGTAGCTGGGTGTCAGAGCACCTGATGGTGGAAAACCCACATCAAAAAGCCTGTCGATGAAGAGAACTTCGTTAGGCTTCTCTGGGCTTTAAGCTCTAATGGGAGGCATGTTGCCTGCCAGCGGCAGGAGGGAGCCGTGGGGCAGGGAGGCACGAGAGTCGCAGAATCACAGAGGGAAGGCTTTGGGGCATGTGTTTTTCCCCAGGTAAATCTAAACGTGAGCAGCTGGGCACCTCTCATGAGAGTATGATACGTGCCTGTGTTAAATGGGAGAAAGTTTTTAATCTATGCCTCATTGTTTCATGAGAAAACACATTCTGAAGACATCTAGTATGCTGTGGAGTGACTTTTTTTGTTTGTGCATTTTAAATGTTTACCAGCTAGTAAGATTTTCACAAGGAATTTCATAAAGCCATTTGTGTGTTTATTGTACACTAAGCCCATGCCTGTAGTATCATGCTCTTTTTTCTAGCTGGTTAAGAAGCAAGTTATTTTCTTTTGGCCAAGGGAATTTCTGGGAGTATTACAAAGGATTTTTTAAAAATAAAAACTTTCCAAGTGGATATTACTCCATTATTTTTCCTCAAGTGTAAACAGTTACATTTGGAATAATACAATAAGCTTTAATTTCCTAATTTTTATCCGTCACAAAGTTTTATGTGTTCCAAAAAAACTATTTCCAGACATTGTTAGCTTAGATTAGTTATTCATTAGTAGCCAAAGATTTCTTTTTTGAAAATTGGCAATAATAAGTTTTCATCTTTTCCAGTAAGCTGCTTTCACATGCAGCATTGAACAGGCACTTTCTTCCTCTTTGACAAACACTGTAAAAAACTTGCACATTTTCTGCAAAGGATGCTGTGGGATATTAGAAAAATACTACATTTCCCTTCCCCCC